AGTTATTTTTTTTCTGATAAGTGTCTTGAGTTATTACCTGGGTTCAGCCTCAGACCACACACAGTCCTACAACCTATGCCACCTGCTTAGCTGGGATGGCAGTCATATACCACCACACCCAACTCATTCTGTTCAAGTAGGGTCTTGCTAATTTTTTGTCAGGGCTGACTTCCTCAGCCTCCTGAGTCGCTGGAGTTACAAGCATGAACCCATGTACCTGGCCAGCCTTTTATGTTCTAATATGGGTTAGAATCTGGAGAGAGCAACGTTTTCTTAAATTATTTAGTTTCTTTACTCTGTTCCACCAGCTTCTGTTTTTCAGCCTCTCATGTTCCTAGAGCAATAGGTGAGAGGTGGGAATAGGAGCATTGTGTGGGAAGTGATTGAATATAAACCTGACACTGAGGAAGCTTGAGATCCAGAGTGTGGAGTAGATCAGAGTTGTTGGGCAAGGTTCATTTTGTCTGTAGTTTTTATAGATCAAGGAATGAGAATTGACTGCTCATTGTTTGTTCCTGCCAGACAAAAACAGATTGGTGTTTTGTTGCTTTTTGTTTTTATTTTTGCAGGGTTTTTTTTTGTTTGTTTCTTTGTAACAGAATTGCTGAGCAAAAATATTTTAGTTCTTTCTCTCCCTTCTTGGCCCTTTTATTTACTAACTCATCAGAACAAAACCTTTCTTACACCACTGGGTTATTTATAAAATAGTCATATTGACAGCCACTTTTTTTTTTTTTTGTCGGTTGTGGAGCCTGAATTCTGGGCCTGGGTGCTGTCCCTCAGCTCTTCAGCTCAAGGCTAGCGCTCTACCACTGGAGCCACAGCGCCACTTCCAGCTTTTTCTTCTTATGTGGTGCTGAGGAATCGAACCCAGGGCCTCATGCTTGCAAGGCAAGCGCTCCACCACTGAGCCATCTTCCCAGCCCGACAGCCACTTTTTGTGTGAAAGAAAAGTTTATTATTTTTCTAAGGCTAGTTATAACCACACAGCTATTTGCAGAAAAACCTAGATTTCAGGTGAACATAGGCAAGATACCTTTTATTTTTGAAGACTATATCAACTTTTTTCTTTTTTCTCAAGTGTTTTCTCAAGAATTAGCTATAATTCAAAATGAGGAAGGGGATTATCAAGTTCGACAAGAAATATACTCACTACCTTACATATGTAACTGTAATCCCTCTGTACATTACCTTGACAACAAATTTAAGTTAAAAAAAAGCAAAAAATGTTACAGTATTTAAGATAGTTCATTTTTAGAATAGAACCTACTATTTTACCAGGAACTCACAGATGGATGAAATAGATTTGTTCATAAAGTTTGATTTTATTTTGTAATGTCAAATAGCATTATTGTTTTCTTAAAAAAATAAGTGATAGTATTTTTATTAAAAATGTAAACATACAAAGTATACTTGAAGGCAAACTGAATTTCATCAAATAGAAATATGAATAGACTACTTGACAATATTTCAGAGCATTCTTGTTGATTTGTTGCATTAATTGGGGTTTAATTGTCTATCTTGGTTTTTTTGTTCCTTTGTTTTTGGCAGTTCTATGCTTCAAACTCAATGCCTTGTGCTTGCTAGGCAAGTACTCTATCACTTGATCTACCAGCCCAGCTATTTTTGTGTCAGTTATTTTTTTGAGTAAGGTCTGTTAGTTACTGTTTTGGATAAGGTCCTGCTTTTTGCCTGGTCAACAATCTTTCCACTGATACTTCCTATATAACTGAGTTGACAGAGGCATGCCACTATACACAACTTTTTATTAGTTGACATGTGCTTTTGGGGCTTTTTTGCCCAGCTGGCTCCAAACTGATCCTCCCAATCTCCTGTGTAGCCAGGTTTACAGGCTTGAGCCACTTTACCCAGCTTAATTGTCTACATTTTAGGCATATATAAAGTGCACCTAATTATCCTTGTCAGGTAGATACACAGTTAATTCATATTTTTGGCAGGTTCTGTATTTACTAGCTCATCTTCTAGTTGCTAAAATACATTTATAATCTCCCAATCAGTCAGTACTCAATGATGCTTTCATAGACAGTCATGAACATGGCAAAAACCCCAAATGATGTGCACAGTTCATATTAGAGGAAGTTGTTTTTTGCCTACATAACTTCTCCTAAACAGGAGTCCATTCTGTAATCTGTTTAGTGTCTTGTATTTCCATGTTTTTTTTGCTAGGAATTTCACAACTTAAAATGACTCCTAACTACCTGAAGAGCTGTTAAAAGTTCCAAGACGGCACAAGAAGGCTGTAATGTTCCTTATGGAGAAGATACATGCCTTAACCAAGTTTTGTTCTGGCATAGGATAGGTAGAACTGTTGTCCATAAAATAAATGCTAATAAGCTAATAACATACTGAATAATGTGACTTCTTTCTCTCTTTCGTTTTTTTTTTCTCTCTCTCCCTCTTTCTTTCTCTTTTTTTTCTTTCTTTTCTTTTTTTTTTTTTTTTTAGCTACTGGGGTTTCAACTAAAGGCCTCACACTTGCTAGGCCGGTGTTCTATCACTTGAGCTCCCATCCCCAGCTTTCCCCCATTCTTTTTAAGCTTGGTTTTTTGGAGGGTCTTATGTTGCCTGGGGCCAGAATTGGATTGCAGTCATCCTACCTATTCCATCTGCATAGCTCCATTACATATTTGCATCCAGTTTATTTGTTGAAATGAGGGGCTTGCTAAATTTTTGCTGTGGCTGGCCTCAATCCATGATCCTCCTGGTTGCCATTTCTGAGTAGCTGGGATTACAGACATGTGTCACTATACCCAGCCATTGATTTTTTTGTTTGTTTTTGTTTTTTGGGGGTCCAGTCATGGGGCCTGCACTCTGGGCCTGGGCACTGTCCCTCAGCTCTTCAGCTCAAGGCTAGCGCTCTACCACTTGAGCCACAGCGCCACTTCCGGCTTTTTTCTGCTTATGTGGTGCTGAGGAGTCAAACACAGAGCCTCATGCATGCGAGGCAAGCACTCTACCATTGAGCCACCTTCCCAGCCCCTATACCCAGCCATTGAATAAGATGTTTTTAAGTGTCAGTTACATAGTATTACTGGCCATATATTCAGTATTAATAAATGAAAAATAAGAGGCTGAGAATGTGGCTTAGTGGTACAGGCTTGCCTAGCATGCATGAAGCCCTCATAAAGCCCTGGGTTCAATTCCTCAGTACCACAAACAGAAAAAGCTAGAAGTGGTGCTGTGGATCCAGTGGTAGAGTGCTAGCCCTGAGCATAGAGAGGCTCAGGGATAGAACCTAGGACCTGAGTTCAAGCCCTAAGACTGGTAAAAAAAAAAAAAAAAAAAAATTAAATAAGGTATCTTTAAATAGAAACACATGTAAAACAAGGATGTGTATTGATCTGTCAATGAAATTGCAACAATTGAAAATTGTGTTCAGAGGTTTAGTATTCTATAATTCAGCACTCACAATGACTGTATATAACACTACTGCTAATAACTAGAATTGATTATATATGATTATTATGTATAATATTCTTTTCTTTTTTAGTAGCATATATTAATTATGCAAAAGAATTTTAATCATAATTTTTCATACATACATAAATATACTTTGATTAAATTTACCCGACCCTTACTTTTTTTTTTTTTTTTTTTACAGTCCTGGCTTTGAACTCAGAGCTTAGGCGCTGTCTCTGAGCTTTTGTTTTTTCTCTCAAGGCTCGCACTCTACCACTTGAACCACAGCTCCACTTCTGGTTTTTTGGGTGTTTAATTGGAGATAAGCGTCTCATGGTCTTTCCTGCCCAGGCTGCCTTTCAGATTTCAGTCTAAGGAGTAGCTAGGATTACAGGCATGAGCCACTAGCACCTGGCTGTATTACTCATTTATAACCCCTCTCCTTTTTAAGACCATTTAAATTTTACGCATGTATCTGACCCATTCATATTCACTCCCATTCACCCTCTCCTTTGCCTTCCTAATACCTCTGGTTCCCATCCCCAAATAGTTCCCCTGTTTTACATTCATGTGGTGACTTTTTTGGTCTGTATTCTATACATTATTATGCTAGATCTCTTCTTATAGTAATGTCAAGTGGATAGGTGAGAAACTTGGATTTAGTTATACTTGTTAACAATGAAAATAAATCTGTAATTCTTTAATGTGTGTACTTTGCTACTGGGGCTTGAACTAAGGGTCTTACAGTCTTACTCAGTTTGCTCATGGCTAGCACTCCTATCATTTAAGCTACACTTCCAGTCCAGCATTTTGCTATTTAATTGGAGATGGAGACTTGAAGACCTTTCTTTCCAGGCTAGCTTTGAACCACAGTCCTCCAGGTCTCAGCTACTAAGTAGCTGGATGCCTGGCTCTTTTCATCTATTTTTGAACAAGATAAAATCAATCTAGATTAATAGAGTTAACTGTGTCTATATCTATATACCCTCTCTTAATTTATACTCCCTCTTAATTGATGTATTTTGATTTCCTTGTTCTTCCCTACATTGTTGTCTATGTTTACTTTCAAATTGAATTAGCTTAGGATGAGAGGGAAAACTCAGTTTTTAGTTCTACTGTTTGAAGTTATTAGCTCAGTTAGGAGATTCTATTATACCTTGACTATTAGGGCTAGTTTTCAGAACTAAATCTCTGAGATTAAGAGCAGATACAAGTCTGTGCATAGATACTATTTTTCCATGTGTTTTAAGAAATAACTGATGAAACAAAAATTAATTGCTGGGTATTTTCCTAACAGCTGTGATAGAGACCATATAACCAAAATACAGTGACTTCTTAGGAAAACAGCTGCGATTTTGGTTCTTCGGTATCAATCCTGTCAGTGCAGTGTTGTGTGTGTCCTTATTCAATAACAGTGGTATAAACTTGTGTAGACCTGGTCATCTTCAGTTTTGTATTTTATTGGAAAAGCCACAGCTAAGGAGCCATTTTTTAATGCTTTATGACATACGTTAAGCATCTAATATAACATTTATTGTCCAGGTAAATCATTCTGATTATAGAAACTGTCTTTGTTTCAGGTCGATCCTCTCTCTTCCCCTTTGAAGACGCCTTTTTGGACGACAGCCATGGTGATCAGGCCTTGTCATCTGGCTTAAGTTCTCCCACTCGTTGTCAAAATGGGGAACGAGTAGAACGCTACTCGAGAAAGGTGTTTGTTGGAGGTCTTCCTCCTGACATTGATGAAGGTACTATTCATTCATTGATAACTTTACAAAGGCTTGGTTTGTGCTTTCTACCAGTTGATACTGACTTCACTCCAGGTCAGCTTTTGGACATTTGTATCTGAATATGTAGGAGGCGAGTATACTTGAATAATGAGGAAGTAATAGGTTATATGCTTTAGGTCTACCCATATTTGACAATGTGATAGTCTCAAAAGTTTCCATTTCCTACTTGTTGATTTTAGAATAGATTTTCAAATAATACGACCTAATACTTAATGAAACTCTACTCAAACAAAGTCCATCATTGTGCTGAGGGCTTCATGTTATGCTATCTCATTTAGTCCTTATCACTATTTTATAAAATGTATCATCAGCATTTCATTGATGAGAAAATGGAGAATCCTTGAGAAATAATCTATCCAGGATTATATAGCTATTGGTATAGTTAGAATTCAGAGTCAGTCTGATATCAGAGCTTTATGCTCTTAGCTATCACACTGTTATATTTTAATAAAAATTTCTGCTTATGAAAAGCATTTTTCAGGTCAGGTGCTATGGCTGTAACAACCTTGCTTCTTGGGAGGCATTGGAATTCAAGGCTAGTCCAGGCAACAGATTTGTCAGTCTCCATCTCAACCAATGACTGAGAAGAGTGATATGTCATCCTAGCCATGTGGGGAAACACAGATAGGAGGATTGTAGTCCAGGCTTACCCAGGCAGAAAGCAAGACTCTACCTCAAAAATCAACAGATAGTTGTGAGCTTGTGGCTCAGGCCTGTAATCTTACTCAGGAGACAGATCTAAGGATTGCAGTCTAAAGCCTGCCTGAGCAGGAAAATCCATGAGATTCTTATCTCTAGTTACCCTAGAAAACCAGAAGTGGCAATGTGGCTTAAAGTGGTAAAGAGCTAACCTTGAGCAAAAGAGCTCAGGGACAGCACCTAGGCCCCAAGTTCAAGCCCCACAACTGACAAAAGTAAACACTGGGAGTTTGACTCAAGTGGTAGAGCACCTTCTAGCAAACATGAGGCCCAGAATTGAAATGCTAGTACTCCTCTGTCTCCCAAAGTATTTCCTCCCTCTATTTAGAAGAATGAAGACTAATTGGAATTTCTCTACATTTTTATGATTATCTAGTCCAAAGGAAAATGAGTTTTCACTTATGCTTAAAGCCAATTAAAACATTCATTTTAACACATAGTAACGTCAATAAATATTTGTTGAATGTATGCAGAAAATGTAATCATAACAACACTAACAAAGGAAAAACAACTCTAGTTCAAAATAACTAGATGTGAAATGGAAATATGAAGGCAGGCTTGTTTTGCCAGGCTGTTCTCACTTTAACACTTCTCTAATTTATCATGGTTTCCTTTTTAGTTTCATGATTAGAGACTCTCGTTTTAGACTTACTGCATTAAAATTGTAGATAACTAAACCTAAGTAGGAACTATGTTGTAATTTCTGCTTTGAGTCAGAAGAAGATAAATTAATTGAGATGCAATTTTTACATATATTTTCATTATAAAATGTATAATATTTAAATATGAGAGCTAGGTATGATGGATTTTTTTTGTTTTTTTTGGTCGGTCATGGGGCTTGAACTCTGGGCTTGGGCGCTGTCCCTGCGCTCTTCAGCTCAAGGCTAGCGCTCTACTGCTTGAGCCACAGTGTCACTTCCAGTTTTCTAGTGGTTTATTGGAGAGGAGAGTCTCATAGAATTTCCTGCCCGGGCTGGCTTTGAACTGTGATCCTCAGATTTCAGCCTCCTGAATAGCTAGGATTATAGGCATCAGCTACCAGCATCCCACTGTATGATGGACTTTAACATTTTCTTTTTTTTTTTTTTTTTTTTTTCTTTTTGCTTATGTGGTGCTGAGGAATCGAACCCAGGGCCTCATGCATGCAAGGCAAGCGCTCTACCACTGAGCCACCTTCCCAGCCCCGACTTTAACATTTTCTTATCATCAAATAGTTACCGTAACTAAAGTCCTCACTTCTCATCAAAAGAATTGTTTATTTTTGTAATAATCTTAGAGATTCTAAACAAGTGAAACTATATTATATCTATATAATATATATATGTATATATTATATGTGTGTATGTGTGAGTGTGTGTGTGTGTGTGTGTACTGGTTCTGGGACTTGGATTCAGGACCTAGGTACTGTCCCTGAGCTTCTTTTTGCTTAAGGCTATTGTTCTACCATTGAGCCACAGGTCCACTTCTGCCTTTTTCTAAGTAGTTTATTAGAGATAAGAGTCTCATGGACTTTCCTGCCTAGGCTGGCTTTGAACCACGATCCTCACATCTCAGCCTACTGAGTAGCTAGGGTTATAGGCATGAGCCACTGGCACCCAGCTACAAGTGAAGCTATATTTCAACTACTTTCGGTACCTTTGCCTTAAAAAAAAAAAAGAAAAAGAAAAAAGAGAGAACATTGTTAGTTTTAGAATCCCTTGAAGTTGACATAGAGGTCATTTAGCTAATACTAGATTTTTCTCTTCCAATTTCCTTATGTCAAGTTTATTGACACTTAAAGAAAATGAACTATAGCTACAAGCACATTTTGCATGGTTAAAAGTGAATAAATGTACACCTAAGCATTGTTATTTCACTTTGTAGATTTGACATCTGCAAAAGTGCTTTTAGAAAATATTCCTTATAACTTTTTTTAAGTAAAAAAACTATTTAAGCTATTCTTATTGCAATACTTTCTTCCTCTTTTGCTAACATTCCTTCTTTGTTTTGTAGATGAGATCACTGCCAGCTTTCGCAGGTTTGGACCTCTCGTGGTAGACTGGCCTCACAAAGCAGAAAGCAAGTCCTATTTTCCTCCTAAAGGTAATGAACTGAAAATGTCTCTGCTGCTTGACTGTTGAAGAGGAAGCCTAGCAGTTCAAAATAAGGCAGTCTTTTAGTTCTTGAAATAGCTGTTGACTGTTTCCTAAGTAGGAACATGGATCAACATAGATCATTGTTTTTCTTGTTTTGGTTTGTCTTTTGTTTGCTTGCTTGTGTGTGTGCGCGCCAGTACCCGTGATTGAACTGTCCTTTAGCTTTTTTGCTCAAGGTTGGTGCTCTACCATTTGGCTGTCCCTTAGCTTTTCACTCAAGGCTTGAGTTATTAGCTCCCCTTCAGGCTTTTTGCTGGTTAATTGAAGATATGAGTCTCATAGACTTTCTTGTCTTGGCTGGCTTCAAACAATGATCTTCAGATCTCAGCCTCCTGAGTAACTAGGAGCTGGGACTATTTTGTGTGTGGTTTCTACTAGAGGCTCTTCCTCTAGGAGCATACTAACTGACAGCAAATCCTATGAGTCTGGTATAGATGAACTTTCTGCTAACCTTTCATTATTTTGAGAGAAATAAACTAGGGCTTTGAGTAATGTCAGCAATAGGAAGGGAAAGGGTTATTTAAAGTTACATTTTTATTTGGATTTTGTAGCTGTGTGGTTTGATAAATCTTATGAACTCGGCCGGGCACCATTGGCTCACGCCTGTAATCCTAGCTACTCAGGAGGCTGAGATCTGAGGATCACAGTTCAAAGCCAGCCCAGGCAGGAAAGACCATGAAACGCTTATCTCCAATAAACATTCAGAAAACCCGGGAAACGCTTATCTCCAATGAACATTCAGAAAACCGGAAGTGGTACTAGCTCAAGTGGTAGAGCACTCGCCTTGAGCTGAAGAGCTGAGGGACAGCACTTAGGTCCAGAGTTCAAGGCCCACGACCGACAAAAAAAAAGTTTATGACATAATCTTAACTCTAGTTAAGCAACAAAAAGCCAGAAGTTGAGTAGTGGCTAAAGTGTCAGAGTACCAGCTTTGAGCAAAAATCCTTAGGGATGGCACCTAGGCTTTGAGTTCAAGTCCCAGGACCAGCACTAATTAATAATAATTACATTTAATTTATTTTTATATATTAATCAACTAAAATTATTTATTAGTATTTATTCCTGTTTACATTTTAAAAAAGATACAATAACATGTGTATTAATAACATGTGAACTTCATATTTATATTAACACTCCTAACAGGGTCTATGGACTACCTGTTTTTTATGGCCTGTGAGCCAAGGATAGATTTATATTTTTAAAAGATTATATGTGGCATATGGGGCTGGGAGGTGGCTCAGTGGTAGAGCGCTTGCCTTGCATACCTGAGGCCCTGGGTTCGATTCCTCAGCACCACATAAGAAAAAAAAAGCCGGAAGTGGAGCTGTTGCTCAAGTGATAGGGTGCTAGCCTTGAGCTGAAGAGCTGAGGAACAGCGTCCAGGCCCAGAGTTCAGGCCCCACGACCAGACCCCACCCCAAAAAGAAAAAAAAAGATTATATGTGGCATACAAATCCCTTTAGAGACACTTTATAGACTACTATTTTGAAATAGCCATAGAACCACTGGTTTGTCTTCTGAAGTATCTACTGAAAAGGAAGGCTATTTATTTCAAAGGAATTCTATGTGTTTGTAGACCCAGGTGCTTCTTTTAGGGGGAGGGAAGACAGGATAGAGACAGGCCTTGCTAAGTAAGCAAGGCTTTCCTGGAACTCACTATTATAGCTCAATCTGGCCTCAAGTTCCTCCTGCCTCAGCCTGCCGGGTGCTGGGATTATAGACCCACCATACTCAGCTGATTTTATTCTTCTATCATGTCAATTGATTTCCTACAAATTTTATTGGTCAATAGAATTTAAAATTTTCTAAAATTGTTATTATAAAGTGCAGAGGGGATACAGTTACATAAGTCAGGTAAAGAGTACATTTCATTTTGGACAGTGTCACCCCTTTTCTTGCTCTCTCCCAGTCAATGCAGTGTTAAAAAGCATAGCAGACTGACTTATTACTGTGACTTCTTCCTTCTGGTACTTAAGGACTGTCAGTTTCTTTTTGTTTCTCTCAGTCATGTGTTACATCCAATGGTCTTTGGATCACTATTCTCGACTACCTTCTCTGTATATATGTAAAGTTACAATATCCTACTAAAACTTATAACTGAGAATTTAAGAGAAAACATTAGGGTTTGAATAGAACAGAGTTTACTATGTCCGTAAACTCCCCATTTTTTGTATTTCTCCCATAGATAAGAATGGTAATATAGAACTGTATATAGTACACTAGTTTTGCTGCCCTTGTTTCATTGCTGAGGTTGACATGGACCAGTGAAAGCCAAGCCAGCAAGGGAATATTCTTGATTCTGGTTCTCAGCCTTGCATCCTCTGAGAGCAGATTGCCTTTCTGGTGATTGAGGTCAGACAGGAGAAATAATTATTAGACAGTTGGATCCTGTTGTTTTGCTCTTAGCTAAAGTCTTCAAGTTGACCTATTTGGGGAGAACCTAAAGAAATTTGTTATTATTCCAAGAGTTAAATAATGTTGAGCATTCTTACAATATTTACAATGTTGGGGATATCTAAGTCATTCACCTCAAACTGTACAGTACCTTCCAAATGTTATCTTTTGATGATCATAATTTTTCTTAGCTCATCTAGGCTGGCCATTAGAACTGGCCTATTTGGTTTTTTGTTTTAAGCTTATACATAAGCAGAGAAGAAAACTTGACCCTTAACTATTGAGCCTCATCTCTTAAGAAGTAAATGCCTTATAAAAAAGAATTTTCCATTCATCCAACAAGTTTATCTGAACAGCATTTTTAAAACCATGACCATTTTCAGTGTATTATAAAGTTCTTAAAAGCCAAATAGAGAAATAGTGGCCAGGCACATCAACTTACGTGTTGTGGGAGCAGCAGCCCCGTACCAGCAAAGAAACCCATAGTATTTGAGTGCACATTGCAGCACTGAGACCACTGAGGATCTGAAGCCTCTGGATCAGTTGAGGACCACAAGCAACTAAGTGCTTGGTGCCCTTCAGAGCACTGCTGAGAACATGGAATGTATGCAAGTCAGAATGTTTGGCTTTATGATGTGGCCCCTAACCTCATAAGATGATATTTCCAGGGGAGACAAGCAATTAATCAAATAGTCACAAAAATAAATATGATTATAACCTGTGGTAAATTTCCTCGATGAATGAAGAGTGCAGTAGAGACGAGGCTACATCTCTTTAGATTGGGGGTATGGAGAGAGCTTCTCTGAGAAAATGACATTTAGGCTGATCCAAAAATTGAGGTGTTAGTTACAAAGCATAGGGAAGCAAGTTCTAAGCAGACTGATGAGAAAGACAATATGAAAGGAGCATTAGGGCCTTTGAATAAATGAAGGAAGGGTAGATAAAATATGAGATAGGAGAAAGCAATGCAAATGAAAAGGCTTTAAAGAAGTAGGATTCCTCCCCTCCCCCAAACTGATCTAGGTCCTCCAGAGAGAGAGGGAGTGGAATGAAGCATTTGTGTAATGTTTGTCTTAGGGTAAAGAGAGAATATTCAGGTTAAATTGAAATAGCTTAAAATATTTTCAAAAGTCTAACAATAAAATTGAAACAAAATCTTGCTTTTTGTTTTCTTGATGTTTTCTTGATTTAATTTTTGTGTGTGTGTGAGGGCTTGAATTCAGGAACTGTGTGCTATCCCTTTAAAGCTATCGCTATACCACTAGTATTGGAGATAAGAGCCTCCCAGACTTTCCTAACTCAGTTGGCTTTGAACCACCTTTATTTAATTCTTTTTTTTTTTTTTTAATCGGTCCTGGGGCTTGAACTCTGGGCCTAGGTGCTGTCCCTTAGCTCTTTAGCTCAAGGCTAGTGCTCTACCACTTGAGCCACAGCTCCACTTCTGGTTTTCTGAGTGGTTTATTGGAGATAAGAGTCTCACAGTCTTTCCTGCCCAGGCTGGCTTTGAACTGTGATCCTCAGATTTCAGCCTCCTGAGTAGCTAGGATTACAGGCGTGAGCCACCGGCGCCCAGCCCCTTTATTTAATTCTTAATGTAAGAAGAAATTAAACTCTAGTCAAAGTATTGAGGGATAGAGCTGGATGCTGGTGAGTTATGCCTGTAATTCTAGCTACTGATGAGGCTGGGTTGTAGAAAATGATGTCTCAAAGCCAGGTATGGCAAATGGCACTCTGGCTCAAAGGGGTAGAGTGCTAGCCTTAAGTACAAAAGCTCAGGAACAGTGTCCAGGTCCTGAGTTCAAGCTCCAGGACTGTTACCAAAAAGCAAGAGAAAGGAAAAAAGGAAGGAAGGAAGGGAGAGAGGGAGGGAGGAAGGAAGGAAGGGAAAGAGAAAGAGACAGAGAGAAAGAAAGAAAGAGAAAAACGGAAAGAAAAGAAAGGAAGGACATTTATGGGGCTTGGAATGTGGCTTAGTGGTCCAGTGTTTGCCTACCATGTGTGAAGCCCTGGGTTTGATTCTTTAGTACCACATAAACAGAAAAGACCAGAAATGACTCTGTGACTTAAGTTGTAGAGTGCTAACCTTGAGCAAAAGAAGCTCAGGGACAGTGCCCAGCCCCTGAGTTCAAACCCTAGGAATGGCAAAAAAGAAAAAGGCCAGCCCTGGTAGAAAAGTCTGTGAGAGTCCATTTCCAATTAAGCAGCACAAAGTCAGGAGGGAGATGTGGCTCAGGTGATAGAGCTGAAAGTACAAGACTCTGAGTTCAAATTATATACCAGCAAAGAAATCCTGAAATATTTGAGGGCTGGTTTTTTTTGAGACTGTTCACATAGTTTATACTTCTAGAACAATAGAATTGAAATTGTAAGTTCTGGGGAAAAAATAAGCTCCTCCCAAGAATAGGTCATAATACAAAATACTAATCAGTGTCATTATGTTTATTGAGGAATGAGTACAAGATTAAAGATGGTTATTCAAAAGAGATGGTAAAGTTATTGAAAAGAGATGGTGGCTCATGCCTTTAACCTTATCTGCTCAGGATGCTGAGATCT